TTTGAAGTTCATGTGTTTTTTTTATTCATTTAAAAGAACAAAAATCATAGTTTCATGGAGAGTTATTGATCACGAATGTAATAACTTGACAAAAGTGCTTAGGTCACTTCAAGATGATAAGATCTTCTCATATTAATGCACAAGTTTCTAATTCTTCTTTCTAGTTCTAATTTTTTCATTTTGAGGACTTGAATCACACTCTATCGTCACAGAGTCATACTTTATCGTCCGCTAGGTCTTAGTGTCTCATCTTCACCACTATATTTTTGGGCTTTATTGATCCAATCTGGGCTATTAACTCTTTTCTAAATGCGAGTTACCTATTACAGTAAAAAAAGATGCACCATACGTCATTACAGTTTCCGTCACCATAAATTCAGTCGGGTAGATCCGCCTTTCCGATGCAGTACAGGTACTTGTAAAAATATCCATATCCTCTGAACATCTGAGTCAGATAGTAAATCGTGTCTCCCCATTTTCGTTTGAGCCAGGTGATTTGGTATCAGTCTAGCTGTCCATCTTTCTTGAGTGCTATTTTTCCAACTTTGTTGCCACATTTCGTTGATTTGCTCCTAATCTTCTCTTGCCGTTTGTTGAGTATAGTAGGCGTTTTTTTATTGTTCTATACTCTTTGGTGCTAATTTATTTGATATTAAAATTACTTAATTTCATTAAACTTACATCAAATAAAATATAATATCACATCGGTTTAAACTAATCTGCCTTTAATTAGGTGATTCCAATAGTAAACTGTCCACCCCATATTCATCCCTTTAACTTTTTCGAGATCTCTAATTAATTTAGATATTTTATACAAGAACTAAAGTTGATGGGAGACTCAATTTCTACGTACACATACACTTAACGCACCTAATTGAGTGGAAGTAATACCTTTATAAACAGCAGTCTCTTTAGTACATCCACTCATAGGAAGTGGCATATATATGTGTCCTTGTGTGCGACAGGATATGTGCCGATTTACTGAGTGAATGCTTTGTATAAATTAAAATTTGTTATTAGTTAAATGTCACAAATTAATCCCCATAGCACATTTGTTTATATTTAACTAATAAAAGTTAATTTAGCCCATAAACACTAATAATGTTCCATTTAAATTAATGGAACAATACATTCTCATCTGCTTGAATGAATTCACATGGATTTCCCATTGGAAACAGAACCATTCGGAATAGCTGTGTACGTATCCATGTACATCATGACTCGCAATATAATGAGTAAACATTGTGTGAATTAACAACGGAGGTGGATGGGTGTTTATGGATTTGGTAACGGTTGGATCCTCACTGTTTGTTTAGCTTGTGTTTACCAGAATATGCAAAAGTTTGTGACGAAACTAATTTCAAAGTAATTACAGCCAACAAAAGTGTTGTATTAGTTGGAATAAGCGTAACTACACAACAACTATACAAACATAAAACAACAACAAGAAGCAAAACAACTTCGAGTACTAACAATTGCCTCAGCAAAACTAAAAAGTTGAGCATGAGATACATAGTCTGCAGAGAAAGATAAAAAAAATTCTAAGAAAGTAGTAATCAGCTAAGTTAGCAGATGTGGTGTCAACTTTCATAAGTTTCTGTATTTTCCAAATTGGTCCCTTAGGTAAGAAAACTTTAAGAAGCAAAGAGCTACAATTATTCGAAGTTTGGTGTGTATTAAACGTTAATACGTTTTTCTTATACAATTAGGTATATAAGAAGACAATAGCTTGATATGAAATAGAAAAGAATTAATTGTTTAGCAACGACACACATTAATCACTTATTTATATGTCGTATGGGAACGTATATGGAGGTATTATAAACAAAGAATTATGTTATATGAGCAAAATATGTACAACCATTGTTTTAATGAACTAATGTACTTAATTTTTATGTATTTAATTGAGGCCCTATGCTCCAGTAGTAAGTAAGTAAGTAATGTGTTTAATTAGGATATCGCAACAGCAGTTAATGCCTTAGAAAAATAAAATTTATAATTTTTCTCGGCTAATATATCTATATAGATATATTATAGGATGTTGGAACAGCGCACCGTCCAACAAGTGGCCTTACTGAAGTGAAGGATTAGCCAAAGTAGACCACGAAACGAAGCAGAAGTCCTTTAAGTTTTCTTTCGATTTTTTTAAGTCGTTATTGAGTTAAAGCTAAAGTGACTTCCGTTTGCTACTGCAAGCAGCTCATTTAGCTTGAGGTTGGGTGCCAAGTCATCACCAACCTAATGGTGTCCCAAGACAGTCATTAGCCAATGCTGGACATATATGCACCGCTGTCTCCTTTTCTTCATAGACATAGTCTGCAAGTGTCTTCCTCAACAAAAGTTATCTTTTTAAGACATTTGCAATTTTCGTGTCTAAAAATAAATAAGGTCAGCCAACTTAAGGTGTTTCGAAGATAGCTAAGCTATAAGCTTTATACTAATACTGAATTGTGTAGACTATTTACACAACGTCAACCCATAATAAACAAAAAATCGGGAAAGTAAACAAAATTCTTTAAAACAAGAAGAGTCTTTGAAGAAGACACTCTAGTACATTCTGACCAGAAAGTTCTATTGTGCCCTTTAGTCGGATTAAAGTGTCCTCCAAGTCCGATTTTTTTAGTGAGAGACGAAAGGGTCTTGAATCTTTTCTAGTCTTGAATCCTATATTCCATGAAATAACCTTTTAAGTGTTTCTTTCGCTTTTACATCAGTGTCGGCCACTCATTTTGCACATGGTATGCAGTTTCTTTCTCTTCTCTATAGAATCAGCAGTCTGAGTTGGACTCAGTGATTATACAGTCTACAGTGACCGTTAAGTAACTCCGTAATAATTCCTTAATAATAATATTTGTTCTATGCAATTCTGAAAGCATTTTAGGTTGTAAGTCCTTAAAAGCATTTAAATTGTGATCATCTTGGTAGCCTTTCCCAATAGAGTTCGCTTCTGTTCCTTTGCCTATATGATATATAAATATTATAATTATTTTTCAATAATTTACGTAATCTTTTTGGAATAATTTTCATGGAATCTTTTGTTCTCTAAGAGATATAATTGATTTGTCTTTATGTTGATCCAAAACAACAAATAATTTCTTCAAAATTTCGGAACTAAGGGTAAGCTTTTGATGATACGTTTATTACAATACAAAACTCTATGGTTATTTTGAGTATAAAGAATTAGCTTTTATTTTCAGAGCATAAATTAAATGAAAATTGACAGATATTGTGTAAAACCAATTTGTTTAATTAATTTATATTAATGCAATCAGTGGAGAGGACACTTTTCGTTATAATTAAATTTATGCAGTTTTTTATATCGAACACCGAAGTTTTTAATAGTTTTTTATAGGTTTTAATATCGAAAACCAACTCAATTAAACGAATTTACACGTTTTAACGGGAGAAAAGCTTTACTGGCTCAATTAACACATCAGCTGCGCCTGCAACAGGACATAATGGCGAGTAAAATAAAACAGAGCAGAAGACACAAAGAACGGTGTAAACAAAATGTAAAAAACCTGGGTATAATAAATTACAAGCGAAAATGGAATACGAAAACTGGACGAAGGATAAGCCAAATATAAAAAATGTAGGAAATTGCATTTCGGTTCGATGCAGGCAAATAGCAACCAAAATGACGTTATTTGGCGGAAAAATATGGCGTATGTCTGCGACCGACGATACTCGAAGAACCGAGCCAGCCACAAAGTGAACATTGCCGCCGCACAAGGATCTCGACTCAAATAAATATTGTATATGTAAACATGTAGGTTGGCTTGTGCGATGGCACATTTAATTGATGTTGCGTTTAATTTACGGGCTCCGCCTCATACCATTAACATGCAAGCACGCGAAAAAAAAATGCACAACGATTTTGGTTCATGCACTAATTTGCAGATACTCTGAGACTGAAGGAATACATCATTTCAGGCCAGCAGCTTTAATAACAGGAACAGCCAGTACGCAGACAGCTATAGCTGCGAAACAATAACCTGACATGAAACGTTAAAGCCAACAAATGGGGCCAATGTAGTGGCAGACGCAAAAAGTATAAAAAAATGAGCGAAATATGTATTTTCCGTAGGTGCACAGATCCAGCCTAGAGATGTTGAAAGGTTGAGTCATTTACATGGTAAAAATTATTGTTTTAGTTTTTTTTTTTTTTGGCAGCAATACTTTTATGTTGTGTGTGTATTGTGCTGAAATAAAGACCCACTACCTATGAACGTATGATGAAAATAGCGCCATTACCTGCACTAAAAGTCAATGCGTTGCAACGCCAACTTCTGCACTTTGAGCCAACTTAATGTGCCTGTAAATATGCTAACAACGCCCGCACCTATCATTAAACCTAACTTTATGTTGGCAATTCATGGAAGGTGATGCACTTTAAAATGGCTCGTAACTATGCTATATGGTGGAACAGTGTGTGGTGCTGCATAGT